AACAAGACATTTGCTGAGAGCGGTATGGTATGCTGCAGAATATGACCGTGTCATCTGCCTTTTGAGGCCAACTCATATGATCGCATAAAACCAGTCTCTTAAGAGGGAAAAACAAGTGCGTGGACAAGTCAAAAATATGACCCATCAAATCAAGGGCGATGTATATTTGTGCTCACCATCAGCACACTCGCGTACCCTTCCAATTAAGTATTTGAAGCATTTTTTCTCAAATTAAACTCGTTTGTCGGCTCCTGCTGCTAGAAAAGCCGTCAACGTCTTAACCCTTGTATACAATGAAACATGAGAAAGAAGAAAGGTAAAGTCAGTAAAATAAATACGAATAGTAGAGAACAGAAATAAAGAGCAGCAAGAGGAGTAGGTGTTCACCTATTTCGTGATATTGAAGGAAGAACTTTCACAATATACAATTTCTATGCTTCTTTTCTAAAATTTAAAATTGAAATCAAAATTTCTACGTTGCGCATGTCAAGTTGACATTGTCAATGAATCAGCGGGATTTGCCGTCAACCCTGTGCTACGGATCGCGGTAAGGGAGCTGTTTGTTTATGCGGAGGAAAAGGGATCCTTTCCGTGAAGTGATAAAAAGTTTGCAAGGTATTATGGCAAGATAAATTTCGGCAAATTTTTATGCTTGAGCTGTTATATATGTTACTTTACGTTACTAAACTTTCATTCAGTATTCCACAGAACAATGAAGAACTGAAAAATATTTTTTCTTACAAGCCAGGTGAACGAATGTACAAAATAGCATATTGCTTGGTGAGGGAAGAGTATTCTTTTTCAACACTGGGCGCGAGTGTGCAGAGGATGGGTAAAACGCTCTGAGAGCTTGAAATGGTGCTTGAAATCGTTTTTCAGTCGGGAAACTATATATAGGGAGGAGCATTAGTGAGGGTAAAATGATCACCTTGTGCGAAAAGCTTGGGTGGTGGAAGAATCGAATATCCGGTTGATCACTGATACTTTTCTAAAATTGGGAGCGGTAGCGCCTATGAATCGCTTATGATTCAAGATGGATCCAGTTCGCACTTGGAGGAGTAGAGGAAAGCATTGAAGATGAGTCAAGGGTGACAAGGCTCCCCCCCCCCCCCCCCCCCCCCCCCCCCCCTCCCCTCTCCCCGCAGTGCAGTTCAATCATTGAAAATTCCCAAGAAGTAAGGTCACATCACACTTCCATAGTAGCTGAGGAACCCACGGAAAGTGAAATCCTGTGGTCGAGTAAGCAAGCACGCCTAATTTTTTTTTAATTACGAGTAAAGCAAACTCTATGGCAACATTGACCTTAAAGGCCATGTACCGACCATTCAAAATCCATCAGAACAGATGGGGAAGACCTCTCCCGCTCGAAGCAAAGAATATTAAAATGTGGTTTTCCTTTCTGGATGTACTCGATAGGAACGTCGACTTCTGGCTACCTTGATATGGCGAAGTTTCTTGTATTCTCCTGAACTACTCGAAGTCAAACTTCACGATGATTTTGAGATTTACAATAGTTCAAGCGAAATAATGAATGTTATATTGCAGATTAGTGCAAAAATGGCAAAGGAAGCGCAAAAATTGTCACATTTCAAGAATTGTAAGTCTACAAAAGTAGGAAGAAAGAGGGATGTACGATAATTGGGTTAGTGTACTAATCGTGTGCGTCCTAAAGCTTCATCGTGAATGGTACAGCCTTGCCAAGGCGTCATAACTCGGGTACTTTTGGGTGTGTACGTCGGTCAAACCTGTTCAGGGGCCCGAGTAACGCTCTGTAGCAGTCGCTTTTCGACCGACCATGTTCCATGTGCTACTCTCGGGAGCCTCACTTTCATTTTCGGGGAAGATTTCAGAAACCATTTTTATTTTAAACTGCGCCTTTCCCTGCTCATTCCTCTGACAGCCTTCCTTGATTTCCTCCATCGGCACGATCAGTCTGGGTTGTGGTCTGCAGCGAGAAGGTTACGCCATTCATTCACTCGCCTTACGTGTTCTTTCCTGTCACTTCAAGTTGAAACTGCGAATCTAATGGGGGCTACGAACAGCTCCAACGAAACTTTACATGTTAGACCTGTAATGACATGAGAGAATCACCACACCTGACATGTTACGACAATAGCCATTGTCTTAGCACCGCCTACCACTGCCAGGAACACGCTCCGGGTCAATGTTCGAAGCCATTCGGTATGGAGTTCTATTGACACGGTCACCTTGATGCCCACCCATGTTGGACTTCGACATACAGGGCGCCATAAACGACATGATCGCACTGAGGTGAGTATAGCTTTATCCTTTAACATCGGTGAAGGAAAGTATGCATTGACCCAGTGCTAGTAGAAGCATATATCGGAGGTTGTATGATCGTCAAGGCGGCTAAAAATATCGGGAGGGCGCATGGGACCTGAAAGAGTCTGAGCGAGCTAAGGTGTCCAAGCGGCTAACGTCTGTCTTGTGGCAGGAGGGGCAGCAGGAAAAGCCGGACCTGGAATTTTTCTGCTTGAACGCATCTTTTCATCAGAAAAGAATTTGATGACACTCGATTTAGGCTTTGAAACGCACTTNAATGTAGTGTTCAGTGTGTGGCGGAATTAATCACGAAGCAGTTCTAGTCACTGGTAATAGTTAATAATAATGGGCCGTGAGAAGAACTAACAGATTTTCGAATTCCTCAGAAGAATAAGCTCACCATTTTCATTTGGGCACTTTCCTTAAAGTGGTCTTTATTCCAATTTCATCAATAGAGTTCGGTACAGCAATCCCATTTTTGCCAGCAACTGCTCTCGCCTCATCTTGCTAGGTATAGCGATTTCAGCCGTCAGAGCATTACCTTGTGAAGAGTTGCTTCATTGCAGCCAACCTCGAAGAACCATTACCCGTAGCGACCGCGAAGTGATAGTGTTAAGTGAACACTGGTTAGGTCACATAGTTGGATTTTCTGGAAATCAGAGCATCGTGCATAGCTTTTCTCAATAGCGGAGGGTTACTTCCAGAGGGTGGTCATTCAGAAACGCAACAGATCTGCAAGATGAAACCTTTTGTCGTTGAGCAGTGTTGCGTGGTCAAAATATAATCAGACGGCAATTCGGGCAAAAGTATAAGGATCGATGGACCACTAGCGATAGAAAGATTGAAGGCATAGCTACGACGTAGTGAAAAAATGACATTCTAGTACTTATTTGAAGTAATCAAATAGTTGCGGGGTCAGATCTCGATCCTTAGTGGCTCAGTCCGCTGAATTATAGCCTCAGTAAAGGTGCAGAACGACAAGACGGAATGCGGAGTCACCTCTGAAGACGTGCTCCAGCATGGTCCATGTAGTACGTCCATCGACTGCTAGACGTTAGACTCAAGCGGCATGGCCCACTCGGTGCACCCGCCCTTTGTCAAAGGAAAAGGAGGTTGGGGTGGTCAGAGGGCTGAACGTAAAGATTATATTTTCTAATTGGCGCTTTATCTACCGGCGAGGAAGCTTCAGGCCACAGGATTTCGTGCCCGACTTCCCACGGTCGCCCCACACACGATTGTCGATATTGGTCTAGCGGTTTGAGGTGATCCTCCACTGTGATTCCATCCCAATTTTTCAAATCTGTGCACAACCAGTTTCAAAAAGAGAGGGGCTTTTTCATTCTAAGAATCTGTGGACTGTTTCTTTCAAAATCTATTTGTCCCATAAACCGTCCCACGAATATCAAGCAAAAGCTTGCTTGCTGTCTAACGTGATTAAGGGTCGAGCTACCTAAGTTGACAAGTTTTTGTTCCGAGTGCATCAGATTCCCAGATTCCCCATCATTTTGAATAAGGTAACTAATAGGACAACCATTTCGGCGATCATTTATGAGTCCTGCGTTCAGACTTCTAATATTTACCAAAAAACGTTGGTGTTTTTTGTTCGCCTAATGTTCAAAACAATGCAGAAAAGTGGCATGTCGCCTGTAGTGGAACTGCCTCTGACATGAAAAGAAGTCTTTGACAATGAACACCATCAGTCAGGGGTGCACTTTCTCTTGCGAACTGTTCAGTGACCTTATGTGTAGAGAGGACAACCCGATAGTGGAGACAAGCAGGTTCCATACTGCTCATTACGTCGCCAGCAATTCTAACAGAACAGATCGCTCTAGTCAGACTAGATCGGACTATTCACTAGTCTTCCTAATAGAATTATTTCCGCCATCGATTACATTGGACAAATTTCTGAAACCTATGCCCCTAACCACCACTTCGTTCTCTTTGAGGACCACCGCTACTACTGATGGTTAGGAGTATTTTTTGATAATTTCCGAGTAAAAATTCCATGCTGCTAATTTGCTAGAAGTTCCTTCTTCACTAAACCTCTTCCAAACGGTTTGGTCAGGCTCAATCACCATCGGGGCGGTCGTTTACATGAAAACTACCAACTTCAACGAAGTGATTGCTCCTTGGGCAATTAAGTTTTTTGTTTTAGTTTTTACAATGTTTTGTGAATCGCATTAGTGAAGAACGGGTAGTGCTTTCGATTTCTGTCCGGGAACAGTAATATGTAGTACACGTGAACGGTGAATCCCTTCGCGTACACACTCTCCAGCCTTGAATTTGCTTAGACTACTCGTTTCTCTGCTCACCCATCTTTTAATAGTATCGGACCATACCAACAGGACCACCGTATGCCTGCCGAGATTTTCAAATCTATTCTGATATGTTTCAAAAGAACTTATTGGAGGCTAAATAATGGATATTACAAGTCCGGGTCGGATTGCTGCCCTGCTAAATCAAGTGTTCAATCCCTCCTTGGTTGGTATCATACTCATCTGGGAGGATAAAAACACTGACTTTGCTGGCTGATTCTGAATGAAAGTCGTATTAAAGACGCTTCCCAAAACGGGATCAATTAACGTCAAAAGGCTTCATATTTAATGTAGCAATGCGTAGTGTTGACTAAATTGCCCAGTTAGGTGGCAAAGTGCGTCCATCGAAGATGCATCGAGTGGGGAGTTGTAATTTGTGGTTAAATTATTTGTGTGTAAATATTTATAAAAACTCATTACCCTCGCCAAAGTGATCTTTGTAGATATCTCTATACTTTTGAGATTACTAGAAATTTTCGGCTCACTAAGTTTTGCTACCACTAATAAAAGTGTAACTCGAGTTCCATATAGGTGCATACGAGATATCTTATAAATAAAGGCTCTTATATTGATTGATATATGTACATAAATACTGGCTCACTAGGCAGACCCTAATGAATTTCTTACTGATAAGCCCACCCCCCCCCCCCCCCCCCCCCCCCCCTCAAGAAATTGCGGCGGTTGATCCGCTGAAAGATAAGGGATCGAAAGGGTAAAGTCGTGAAAGTCAGTGCTTTTCCTTCTACGCTGCTACCATTTGACCGACTTCGAAGGGATTTTAAGCTTGGTTGGCTCATTCGCATGTCGGTCCGGGACTCGAACCCGTAACTGTGCGTGTGTGATAATGCGCTACTTGCCACTGCACCACCTCTTTCCAGAGTCTTCAGCTACTACTGATAGCAAATAAAAATAGAATCGTGATTCTCCTGCACCACAATTTTGGAAATAGTGCCCGTTTAATCAATTCTGTCAGTTGCTAACAATACTTTTTCAACATCTCTCACCGGTTTTTATCAGGCGTTAGCACTTTCTATGATGATTCAATCACATAGGTCTCTATCTCGCTCAATAGCACTTGTTGGTGCAACGTTCTGCTAAAAAGTGTACCAAATTAGGTGCTATTTTCTGAAAAAAACACTCTCTGACAGTCTTCGCTGTTAAACTACAGGTTCTTTCGACCACCATCTTACAAGTTCCCTGTTCATACTCATAAGAGTCAGTGTTTTATCGAAGTAGGCGAAGTTACAACGAATCCGTCAATGTATTCTTTTTCCTAAAGCTTCTCAGGGCGGAGGTGGTGTAGTGGCATGGGGCGCACTATATCACACGCACAGTCAGGGGTTCGAATCCCGGATCGATGCCCGCCAAGGCCAACAAAGCCTTCCATCCCTCCGGGGTCGGTGAATTGGTACCAGACTTGTCTGGGAGGATAAAAGCACTGACTTGTACATTGGCTGGCCACCGCAAGTTATTGTATAGGCCACACACGCACTCATTACGCCACTACGATTCTGAATGGAAGTCGTGTGCGGGGGCGCATCCCTCAGACGGGATTGATCAACGCCAAAAAACTTTATCCATTATCCTTCATCTAAAGCTTCTCACCAGTCTTTTTCGGGGCTGCTCACTTTCGAAAGTCTTGTTTTGAGCCGTAATTTGTCAAAAACACCCATCCAGGATAACATTGTCGTCGACAGTAAAGCTCACACCGGTGATAAGAATAAAGTCTGCGACCGGTCCGTTGTTACCCAAACTGTTTACACTATCTATGACCACTGTGAAGTCCCTCATCTGAGTGGCGTCTTCTAGTGCCTAAATTGTGTTTTCTATTCCCACTCACGATCCCATTTGTCCCTGGCGAGCTCAATTTCCAATGCTATCGGGAGCGAAAACGCTCCTCAGATATCGTTGGTGACTTTTAATTAATGTCGCATTGTTGTTGCTTCAATTTCTACAACGAGGAACCACCCGAATGAACTCGGTTGACCTTGAGCGACCCTACACCTCATGCTAACAAAGCGGAGCGCAGAGGTGCACGGGCGGCGCTGGACGAGTTTCCCGGCAACCGTGCTAGACGGGTTTTCATCACGAGTGCACGATCAGCTGATGGAGTTTCGCTGGTGGTGATCACATTTCCGTGCTTTGCGCTTTCATGCTTGCAACATTATTCATCTCTGCTTACTTTGCTCTAGCTCTTCACAAAGACGGAAGTTTTATTTCATACAATGACTTCCATTTTTCAGTCCTTTCATGACCGTTGAAGAAGTTTCTCATCTTCTATGCGTCAACTTTAATCAGGATGCTAAGTGAGTTTGTTGTATCGAACGTTATCATATTTCATTTTTTACTAATAATGTTGGCATATACAAGTCAGTAGGTGCTTTTTATTGAGTGGTTCGAAACCATAGCGCCTCTTCCTCCAGCTGTTATTGATTTTTCGTATAAACATTTGGAGAGTTCGATATCTGTTCAGGTCCTTGGCTGTTGGACATGCCAATGGCTACATTCTATACAAGACATCAGATGCTCTAGAATCTTCAGTTCTTCTAGATGATGCTGATAATTCATCCGGTTAGCTTCAATTACATTTTTGTTGTTTGGTGTTTTGGTGGGGTATAGGTTGCAGTCCATATGAGCTGTAGCAGTCAGAAAAACGTTAAAGAAGGCCTTGCGGCTTCAGCTTGTTGTTTCCCAGGTCTTGAGGAAAGGTTTGGGTCTTTTCGCTTGTTGTTCACTGTATGAAGCAAGGCGCCTGCAGTATTTATAAGTGATTTAAAAACCTTCGCTAGTGTGGGTTGCATCCAACTGGATTCTAGATTTTTTAAATACGGTTTCAAGGTCAACCGGGAAAGCAGCTTTGAGAATGTTACACAAAGTCTTCTGTAGAATAGAATGGGTCTCAAATTGAAGTAGGTGTTGATTCCGCAGAAAATTTCAGGGAATCCGCGAGGATATTATTCATACTTACTGAAACGGCCATTCCCTTTAATTGTGATGTCGCTCCTTTGCTCATCTTAAGGATCGGATCACCTCATTAGTTCTTCAGCTCTCCCAGAAGATTGGTTTCTAAAATGGGTTGTTCGGTGGTGTAGCGGAGAAAATAGCAGTGCATTTTCTAAATTAGGTTTGTAGTTTAATCATTTGGATGTTTCAGCAATTCATGAAGCGATTATCGTTGAACGGTTATTCAATTCGTCCTTGGTTGTTATTGTTTCGCAGAAAGAACCCCGAGTGATGCATATTTACCATTTCAAAAGCAAGAATATGATATGTGATTACAAGTTCACGAAGTCGGTATTGAACGTGAAATTAAATCGAGATGTAGGTGTTTAAAATTCATTTTTCCTATTTTTTCATCATGAAAAACTGTTTGCAGTCCTTTTCTGTTTTCAGAGAGTTGTTGTCTGTGTGGAAGATTCCATATTTATTTACACATTAAAGGATATGAAGGTATGTTCCCGTTTTTGATTGTTCTGCTTGCAGCTGTTCACACGATGTGCTTGCTGAAAAAATGCTTATGTGACTAATCATTTCGTTTTTGAAAGAATAGAATATTTCCAGTGCCGTTTCAGTTTTTTTTTTCTCTTTCAATAATGATGATAGCCTCTGATGGGGAACAGAAGCTTTTTGTGCGTTTTACCCACAAGATTCCATTAGTGTTCTGACTGCATAATCCAATAACATTTTCTGTTTTGTCGATGTAGAATGCGCACTATTCCTACCATTGACTGACTAACTGTGTAAGTTTGATTAGAGTTTTGAAGTTCCCTGGTTGTGTATCGAAGCTACTGATCCATTTCGAGCAGAAAACGGTGTGTTTCATAGGCTCATCTACTATTGGTAACCCTTTCCCCTTTACCTTCACTCACTATAGCCGATTTGGCAGATCGAAAAGGAGTATGCATGATTGGCGAATAGTTCGAAGAGAAGCAGCTTAGTTTGCGATATGTTGCGCTCTTTCAGAAAAAGTTACTCTTCGAAAACCAGTTGCATTCATTTTGATCCGTTTCGCTGTCGTTATCTATTTCAAGCTGTTGATCCACGCGAATGTTAATGGGAAAAATTGGATCGGCTTCAAGCCCTGTCCAAGACGAAAGTTTTTGTCCGTAGCTCAGCATCTCCATGATAACATCTTACTGTTTTCCTCAAGTTGTTGTCTGCTGCATAACACAGAACTTGTGCTGACTTGGTCGTTCGCACTGCAAATTCAGCAAAAATTTGTTTGGCTATGAAGTTATTGGTTTCTTCTCATCTAGAGATTTTGGTTTTTAGAGGATTTTCTTGTGTTCCAGCCACTTCATACGATTCTTGACACACCACTGAATCGGCTTGGACTGATTGACCTTTCTCCTGAGGCCAGCTGCTTGATAGCATATCCTGCAAGCGCTGAAGCTGGAAGTGTGAGTTTTTCAACTTCTCAGATTGTTGCGACAGTGCCTCGTTTATATGCGAAGCGTTAGTGCCGATCTCTGTTTTTCAAGAACGCGAGACCGAGATCGTGTTCAATCTATCATATGTGTATTTCTTCCAACTTGCCAGTCTATCCGTTTGATCCGGTTTCGAAGTCTTGTACCAAGCAACTTACTTCTGCCACACCCATTGAAGCGGGTTTAGCCAGTTGCACGCAGTTTTGCTTGAGTTGATTTGGCTTCAGATGCTGGACATCTTTTCAAAAATGAGCTGAGTCGGTGTGTACGAAGTTTAAGTCACTTGGTCACCATAGGGAACTGAGACTGGTCAATATCCACTACTTTATTTGTTTCTATAATTGAGAACGAGAAAGGAGGTTGCTGTGAGGCTGGATTAGTTTGAAATAGTAACTCGTCAGGCGAATACGGTGATTTATATAACTGCGGCAACTTACTGCTGTCCACTTCATACTCAAAGAGGAAAATTTCTTGATTTTCTTTCATGCGTGTCCTTTTGGTTGAAAGTATGATACCCATTCTTTATTTTGGAGGTATTGTCCGAAAGTCGTTTAGGCTAGAGACTTCTTCATCTTTTCATTACGACTCTTCTAAGAAAAGGTTCTAGCTTATACATGACGACGAAGTCCGTCATATGATAATGTTTAGGTGCATATCTTCGATTGTATGAACCTTTCGGCAGTTAATACCTTTACGGCTCATGATGGGCCCTTGGCTTGTCTCAAGTTCAACGCAGATGGTGAGTTCGCTAAAAGCATACTATTCATCACAAACAACACTCATAGTTCCATTTCGCTATTTTTTAGGTACTATGATTGCGACGGCAAGCATCAAAGGAACAGTTATACGTGTTTATAGTGTTCCGCAAGGAACAAGGTTGTTCGAGTTTAGACGAGGGATGTCTAGGTAGACAGATTTGCTTCCGATATTTTTTTGCTTTTATCGTTAATTGTTAATGAATCTAAGCGACGCTCGACTCTATTCTTAATTTTCCTGTTCTAGGTGCGTGACGATTTATTCTCTAGCGTTCTCTGCAGATTCCACGTATTTATGTTCTTCGAGTAATACAGAGACTGTTCATGTGTTCAAATTGGAGAAGCCAGAAGATCAAGAGAAGAAGCAGTAAGTTTGGAAGTTTCGTCTGCATTTTCCGTAGTTGAGTCCCTCTTTTTTCAGTTCTTTTTTTATTCTACATTATTCGATGAGTCCTTTCCTTTTGTTATTAGCAGCTCGTTCAACATTGTTTTTTTAATTTTATTGGCAGTGTTGTTATTATGATAGGGCAAACGCTACGTATTTCGAACTTCGAGTAGGGCATCTTCAGCACACTCATGAGTCGACTTTTGCTTCATATATCATGACCATAATATAATACTACTGATAAGATGCTTATTCAATGAGCTGTAGTACAAAATTCCGAGGGTTCCGAGAAGTTTGATACCGATATTGTACAATGATTTTTATTATAATGTTCAGCTTGGTTATCCCTTTGAATTCATTGATTTTGATCAGGCGATATAACGGTCTAATTAGGGCATTATAGTAATCTAAAGGACCCAAATAGCTTTTTATTTGAGCTAACTTTGTTGTTTCCAACGAACCTACGTGCTGTTTGGTTGCACTATGAGAGAATTGGCTCTATTTTTTTCCTTCAGAGAGTCAACAACGGAGTCTTCTGGTGGCTGGCTAGGTTATCTTACGCAAGCCGCCTCAAGTTACCTTCCTACGCAAGTTAATGAGCTCATGACAGTGGAACGGAGCTTTGCCACCGCTATTTTGCCGGGATCTGACAAGAAGAATGTAGCTGCCATGCCAACGTTAGTTTGTTTTCAAATTCATAACATTAAGGAAGGCAAGAAAACTAGAAAGAATGAATTCCTTTTAGCCGTTCTGGTGCCTGCGTTATCGAGTAATTGAAGGGTTCTTTGAAATAATTATTTCGAATGCTTTTGTGCGAAGATAGTTCGAGATCCATGAAATTGAATGGCTGGGTAGCACGTCCATGTCCTTGTTGATCAAAACCTCTATATATAAAGCGATAACTTTGTGTGTCTGTTCGAGTGGGGTCTGGTATCTTCTCCTCGAACTGGAAGTCGCGCTCGCCGCACTCAATCGCGCGCTATGAAGGGAAAGGTTCGAGTTCCCAATGGAAGGCTACGGCAGGCAACGCGGAAACACTGCCGTTGGCCGTGAGAATTCGTGGAAAAGTTCCAGCGCCCGTTTGAATGTCCGTTTGTGCGTCTTTCCAAAAGTCACGTAGCCACGTGAAGAGTGTGAATGTCACGTGAGCGCTCTGAGGAAGCAGTTGAAAAGTGGAATCAAGCGATACTTTTTATATTGGTCCTCTAACAAGTCGTAGGTGAGCGGTAGTGGGCATGTGGTGCACGCATTAGCGTGCGCAGCCAACTGGTGAAGGGTTATCCTTTGGCGTGAATTCCGTTTTTGGAACGCATTCACGCATTCGGCTTTCATCTGAAATTTATGTAGCTTTCTGAATGCAATATATTATGGTGGTCAACCGATGTGCAAAACAGTGATTTTACCTACCAAACAAGTCTGGTACCATTCAACTGACTCCGAAGAAATGAAAGGCTTCGTCGGCCTGGACGAGGTTCGAACCAGGATTCGTACCGCGGAATTGCGTGTGGTAGTGTGCCTTTTTTCTACTACACCCTATTCTTGTTGATATGTGCTCGTATTTTGAAAGTTTCTATGTGTTTTCCAACAATATGGGACGCTTGGTTAAGGATCAAGGGCCAACCGCATCTTCTCGTGGCAACAACTGACGGTTTCCTGTATTGCTATCGTATTCTGAGTACCGGTGGAGAATGTGATCTCGTGAAAATGCACCGCATCGGTGTCAACGCTACGGAGACTAACAGAACAGATTCCAGTATGAAACATTATCACTAATTAAAACCGAAATCGTTTTATATAAAGAAGCTAATAATTGTTAAGGTCGACCAAGTGCCGCGGAGAGTTCAGCGAGGGTGCCGGATGCTAACGATCCCGAAGATTTCCCACCGATTTGTCACACAACGGGATGATTATGTGTAAGTTATTGATTCGAATTATATTTGAAGCAGAGTTTCAAACAAACAATTGAGAGGTTTGTTTTTTGATTTGACTTCTTTTGTGAAATTTGTTTTGTGCTACTCACACTGCAGAAAAATTTCATGTGGTCAAGATAAAATTAATGGAAAACAAGTGGTGGAATAATAGCTGTTGTATAGCACAATAATGAGAGATAGTGGCTGGAAAGTGGCTGTAGTGGCTGTAGCTAGGCTATGCCCAAAGGAGAAATTTTTTACCAGTTCCTGAACATAGAGCCGTCCTTCTTGAACATTTCGGATGCCCCATTCGTGAACCCATATGTGCAACCGAATTTTTTTCTGGGCTTTTCAGTAACAAGTTAAATAATGATGAAATGGCGACCTAACTTCACTTACAGCTAGTAAAAATTTCTATTGTGATAGATGATGATGAATGGTAATGATAACGTGTGATTTATGCTCCGTGTTTCAGACCTGTTCTCCTGATGAATACGTGTAACTTATGCGAACAAGGCTTCCAACATTTCATTTTTATCTGCAGTTCTCTCTCGCATGAATTTGTATTTCTTTTAACAATTATTATGCACTGCTGCTAACCAGAGCCAAACAAGCCAAAGTAGTACATAACAGAAATTCATGTAATCGATTTTGGTTGAAATGATTCTCATGAAGGTGTAACGAACGTTTAGGAACAGCAGACTGTTCGCAATGCTTATGGTATGTCTACCTTTAATTCATTTTTGTGAAGATTTTTCCTATTGGTCATTGCTAGCTAGAATGTACAGCCTCTTGTAAAAATTCTTTTCAGGTTTATAAAAAGTATTCTAAACCTTGCCCACAAGGGGGGGGGGGGGGGGGGGGGGGGGGGGGGGGGGGGGNGGTCGAGGGTTCGGTGCAGTCAGTTATAGGACCAGTGCACGGATCCACTCGTCGCAATTGGGATTGGATGAGATCGGGCAGGAAGCACTCAATTTGCACAATTTTTCTTATCTTTTTGCCAATAAGGTCTACTCAGAAAAGGCAATAGTTGATAGACTCTTTACCATAAGCCCTCTTGCGTGTAACTGTCAGCTAAGTACAATATAAGGCTCTAGGTGCTGAAAGAAAAGCGTTACAGAACGCGTGGATCCCTTTGATACCATTTTCTCGAACCCGTAGTTTTCGGTTTTTACCGAATCACCTCACGAATATTTCCTCTTCTTACCCCTCGTAATCCAACCCCTCCCACGATGTGATTCGATGTATGACACGCGAAATCTGGGAACTAAATACATGGGCACACAACGATGTTGCCCTCTTCGCGCACTACATGCGCGTAGTCCGGCCCGTTTCTGGCAAGGTTAAAAACATTAATTTCCATACTGTTTCGCCATTCTCGCCTATTATTCCTCATAGAAAAGCTAAATCTTCAAAACCCCAATTGATCCGGATTGTACTCGCTAAGAAGTGCTGTTAGGTTGAAGTGTGCTGTTTTAATTTCATCACCACTGGACTACGTTTTTCTATTGATTGGCTTTTTTTGCGAATGTTTTACCGTATTAGTCGAATGTGTAGTATATTGTGATAACGATTGAGTGTACGCTTTCATATTGCTATATAGTTTCGTTTCGTTGTACGCCTTTTGTTTATTTCTTGTAATAAAGTCACGGGAACAAAGTCTTATGGCGCCAAACGGCATTACTATGTGAGGCTATTTTGGGTTGAAAAACTTGTCATTTGAGTTTCTCTCATTTCAGTTATCATCTCTGGACGGCATGGGGCATGAATCTTGCTTGGCAGGTGACCTGAACAGAGCGCGCAGATTCTCGGTAACGAATCGACTACCCATTCAGCAGACTTTTGAAGATTTGATCGTCGTTTATCGTTGATCGTTCATCACCGTCAACTACGGCTACGACCCATTTTCCCACAACTGCCTGACAATCGACGGCTGACCGCTCAGCTACGATTTCCGCTGCCTGAATCTCCATGTTTCCATTACTTTTGATTTATTTGCTTTTGCCTGAAGTGTTGACTGTTCAGGAGCGGTTCAGATCTATTCTTATCGAGGTAGGTGTATGCACATTGTAACAAATAGCTGCTTATCCTTTGGCAAATCTCCTCGCTCTCATTTAGAGTCATCGTCAATAGTATTCGCAATAGTGATGTTACCAGGTGATTGCTAAAGCAGCGGATTCGAAATCGTGGAAGGCCTAAGTACCCTGTGGGGAAGCCAAATCGCGCCATCCTAAGTGTAAAAAGGACAGAAACAATTTTTCAGTCGTATATTTATTTATTTATTTCTACGCCAAAATGTCACGCTATCACATACATATATTACAATACTTCTTGAAATTAATAATGAAAATTACAATTCAATCTTTGAACAAGGGTCCACTATGATGGTGACCACCATTTTGAGCATAGTGTCTAGGGCTCGCACTGAAATCCTCTCTGACACATCTTAGCATCACCAGTTTCCTTGTTCATTCTGAAGTTTCAAATCGTGGTACCGTTGTTGGACGAGTCTCGAGAACCTCCGACTTGAGCTGTTCCCGTAGAAAGTAATCGCAAGAGCTCACACTGGGTGATCCTGGTGGCAATCGAAGATCTCTATTCCTACTGTCCAAACAGTTCAGAAAGATGTTCCTCATTCCAGTGATGTTCTGGCTGGGCTAGTTGCTTCATTTTGATGGGCTACCTCCTACAGCTACAATAACCGAAAGAGTTTCTGTTTATATTCGGCATGATAGAGGTTGGCCTCACGTAGCGAAAAGCACATAGGCCAGATTACACGAACCTGGCTGTCCTCCCCTACGCTGCTTAAAGGCACAGTTCACGATAATTTTGTGTAAACCAAATTATGATGAAAAATGGAAGACAAGATCGAAAATAGTGCGATGAAGGTGAAGAAACTGCGTGAACCGGTGTTTCCAAAGTAAAAAAAAAACGCTTCGAAAAATCGTTAAAAAGGGGGCTGGACGAGAATGAAACCAGAAAAATGAAGAAGAGTGGGGTGTGCGGGCGAGCTAAACAGTGTGTTCCACTGCGCGAGTGTGAGTCCTGGTGCGAATAACAGACTACGGTAAGCAAAAATTCATTCACTTACGAGCATAAGTAAACAAAAAACCCTAGTAACAGCAAAAGTAGCTTCCTTATTTCAGCCTCTAGGAGTAGGGAAATAAATAAGGGATCGCGGCAGCAAAAAGAATAGTAGAGGAAAAAAGTGGGAGAAAAACATTGCCTCATCACTCGGCGATCAGCTGATTGTGTGTGGGTCTTAGAACGTATAGTTCCAATCTGTATTGTCTCGACAATCTTCTAACGTGACATCGATCGAGGGGCGGAAAAGCATTGACTTTCCCGCCTCTCGCATTATCGTGAACTGTGCCTTTAAATAGTTCAATGAATGAGAGTTCAAATAAAATTTTGAAAGAACTCAAATCACATGGTGTAACTCATGCAGTTCAGTAACCGTGATGCCCTCCAAATGTACAAATGGTCTATAAAACCGATTGTGGGTTCAATATTAGAAGATTGTTACGATAACTGTTTGCAGCGTGCCTGCCGAAAACGGCCGAGTCTGAGCTTTTGCAGCGACTACGAGTTGGCGGTGACACCTAAAGCTGAAAGGGAAGTGAAGCTAGTCGTTCCTCCTCTAATTCAATCAGATACATCAGTTACCGGTGAGTTCTGAAAACTTCGCTCCACTCACACTCGCCATTCCAGCTTCGAGAGAGCCATTGCGAATTGTAGGGGGTTCAAAGTCGCAAGGCGACTGGCGCGACAATGTTTTCTGCGTGACTCATTACTTTGGAACAAAACATTTACTCAATTTCTGGAGAGATGATATGAAAACATTACAGCACCAAGTTTGTTGATTACTCCACCACAAACAACGAATCCAACGTTGCAAATAGATGAGGTGGACTTCGACAATGAAAACAAGACAGACACCGAAGAACATCTAGGCAGTCTGGTCAAACTACCAAAACCCAAGAATTCCCAGGGAGAGGTAGGACATTTGAATTGAGCTTTGTTGAACAGCTATTGTATTTCATTATTCTAGGTAGTCGAACCTGTACAGCCAGCAGCAGTTGCGTCGAATGATGTCTCGCAGGCGATCACCGTTGGAAACAGTAGCATCACGCCAGTAAGCATTGAGGATGAGGTAAATGTTTGAAAAGTTCGAATAATTAGCGTTTCCCGTCCTGCTGTTGGGCCTGAGACACCCATTTGCGCGTTCCCCTGTGGTCGTAAGAGCGATGACTTCATATAAGATCATTTGGGTGAAAACTGGTTCTACGAAATTTTGCGGAAGAACGACTAGCCTCGTAACAGCAAAGGGTGGGAAGGGAACTCAAAAAACTGCGAAAGCGGTAGCCTCCTTGACAGTTCGAAATGGGATGTTTGGAATTGAGTTCTTGGAAATGCGTACATGCTAGAATCCCCTTTCGCTCTCAAATTATGGGCTACGACTTTTTTTGGAATCTCATAGTCGACTTCGCTTTTCTGACCTTAATAAAATATCCGCTACCTGTGGCTTCAGCTACTGTTCTCAGTCCTCGTTGACCTCACTTTACCCACTAGTGGTAGGTACTCAACGATCGGACTGGATCGGACCTCTCCGCGTTTGAGAATAATCTGCGGGTCTTCACTTTTGTCTTACTGATAGGTATTTACTACTTTTCCTGTGGAACCTCCCGTTCTGCAATCAAAGCAGACTCCGAATAACTTTTCCGCGTTCCATTTGGGCGAGAGAGGGAGTGGAAATCGAGGTTAGGTTTCACTCAGCTTACGCTTTTGTGGATCATCTTCGTAACATTGAACCCTTTCTATGCATAAGGGCCTTTTCAAGTCCTGTACCCAGATCTGACTAATTGTGAAGCATATGACTGGATCCTAACAAAGAAACCTTTGGGATTCTGTAAAAAAAAATGCGGTGAGATGTAGATGGAGTGACCGAGGCAATTCAAATATGACCAGCCAGCCGGGGACGTGCTGAGACCACTCATCGGCGGAAACCTACAGCCTGTACGACTTGTTCTACCAATTCTCCAAGCACTACCATTGGTCTCGGTGGCGAGGTTGACTGGGTCTTGTAGCGACTTCATCTTTCGAAGAGGCCAAGCCTACTACTTTAGTCTTGTTTCAGAAAACTGTGTTGGTTTTTGTCAGTGAGTACTGTGTGGTTCATCGCGAACTCTTCGTGAAGAGCTGTCACGGAGATGTGCCCGAAGACAAGGTATTAACTCGTTTACAATATGCTTCAACTTTAATTGGTAATAAACTTTTGAGACCTTTGGTTGATTAATAGTTGAACCAGTCCATAGATAGTCTTCGGCGGATTATTGGAATGAGTTTTGTTCTGAGTTTTCCAAAAGAGCCAAGCCAACCATTACCATTCAGATTCCATTTTGTAAAGATTACCCGTCGTCGTGTGCATCAGCGAATGGCGTTATCCCAGTACTAGCCTACTGTCAAAGGTAACTGATGTACATTAAAATGGTATCAATGAAATTATCACTTCCCCTAACTGGATTACTTTTGCAGGTACTACAAACACTATCCAAAATTCTGCAGTGTTCCGAAGATCGAACAGGAATTATTGCAATTTTGCTTCGCCTTCGAGCAATTCTGCCTGCCTGAACTGACACCTTTGGAACCGGTATGCCATTGAGCTTTGTTCTTTTGTTCTAGAAATAGACCTTTATGTGAATTAGGGTGTCAGCAAAGTATAAGGTGGTAGTGCATCGAACAAGAATGTCTGGGGAAGGGGAGTAGCCGAGGTTAAACGCCCCGAAGATGTAAGTCGTGTTACCTGAGGGAGTGAAGTGGTTCGTTATTATTCTTACCATCAGGTGAACTGGCGTTCAGCGACAGTTTCAGAACAGGGTAAAGTCGGAGCAAGCAAGAACTTCGAATAGGGCGAGCGAATAAAGATTCGAGTGGTTTACCGTGGAGCACTGAAGTCAGAGCAATGAAGCCAGCTTTGACTTATAGCTCCCAAAATTTCGGGTTTATGATTTATGCGGAACTGAGTGGACGCTGTGGGTTTAGATGTTCAGTACCATCTTCCATTTTTTAGGTTGAACGACCAAAATCTTCGTTGAGGAGGTGTGAAGAAGTACTACCAGAAGCTCGAAAAGTTTGTAATCCGTTCCCACATCCAAAGGACACATTCAACGTGTTACGGTGTTCAAATTTCATTACAAATTGCAAGAAATTCGTTGATTGGATCTGATCACGGCCCTGTTTTTCTATATTGTAAATAAATTTTGTTCCTGCTATCTCTTCGAAGCTCCAATAGTTAAGTAATACCCTGGGAAAAGAGAAGTGGACAGTATACATGAAACTGACGGTTATCGCGTGGTGGAAAGTCTTTGAATTCATGTCATGTGAGTTTTCAGTATTCAGCCAGATGAATGATGAGGTGGAATATGAATTGGGGAAGGGTAGTGAGGTCTTTGATGCACTTCTCACACTGCACTGCACATTGATGCAATTTGCAATCAATGATTACCAGAGGTGGCCCCGAGGCTTATGACGCCGTATAGACAAGCGCCTTTTTTTTGTCAAAAGGGCAAGCTTTCAGATTGGCAAAGTAGATGGGCCGTGAAATTGCACGAGTTGTTCTTTCTAGCCATGGACTAGTGCATAAAAGATTCTGCTGTTCGAAGCTCCGTGAAGTTCCTCAATTGCCGCCTACCCAGCGACTTCAGACGTCATTTCGTTCCAAAGAGGGTTGGACGACATCCCAACTGTGGGCCTTGCTGGTTTGGGTGAACCGTACTAGACTTTTCAAAGTGTAGCAAGTACTGGTCACCAAAATAACAACAAAAGGATACTGGGATACAACTGGGATGCTTACAATTACAACAGAGAAGAAGGTCAAACTCACGACGGAACATCCTTACATGCTTTATTTGCTGACTCATCCTCGGCTTCGCCACCCAATTCACTTGAAGACATCAGAGGCTATTATAGAACTCCTAGAAAATCGCTTTTAAATTCGTAACTGTTGATGGTATTATATATGCCCAAACAATGAAGGGATGATACGTTTCCTCTGAATAGCGCACTAAGTGGTAAGGGCGAGTAAAACAAAAAAGGGCAGGGAACTGCGAATATCTCCTTTATCCTTATAACTTTTCATTTCCAGCATTAGCTAGCGAGTAGACGGTAAGGGACGTATGCTTGCGACCATTCAGGGCAGCAAGTGCTCAGCGTCGCCTACTCCCCAAGAGCCCCCCTCAACCTCTTGGTTACTCTGGGCGCATAAAACGGTTTTCGAGCATTTTTGTGCCCTTTCTTAACCTTTTTTTGATGCGATAACACCACCCATGGTATTTAGGCCAAATTCCTAGGTAGCTTGAAACCAATCCCATATGTTTCTACTCCCTGCCTGTTATCTGTCAGTGATAATACAAAGCATCACACAGTGATTGACAGAAGATAATCAGCAACATTTTCAATCATTTTGGGGAAGACAGGCATAGTGAATCAGAGCAAAAGGTTGAGTTGTGTGTCATTAGGTAGCTGACTGGGACCGATCAGACTGCCCCTCACAGCAGACAAAATTCTGTTTTGAAAGACAAAGGAAGAAAAATCTGACGATGATTCGATCTAAGAGTTTTCGGCTCCTGTCCCTTCCTGTTCTATCAGCTCTAATTAGCTAGAAGTGAGGAAATTTGCCGGGTGTTGCTTGTTTGGCGTTCGCGGTGGCAGCAGAGGTTGAGGCGGTGCCGACCGGCAGTGAATGCACTCGAGTTCGAGTGGCCGGTCTCATTGATTGCCTTTTCATTAACTGACAAATGCTCTCATCATTTCCTGTCAATTACGATCCGAAAAATAAATAAATAAATATTTTTGCTGCACTATACCTTCAAATATGGCCTTCCTATATGTTACCATTGACCAAATGACAGTTTCGACACACGATCTATACTTTGGTAGCTTATCTGATATCTGGGAGTAACATCATATTAGGATGCCTTATTCGGCTTCAAACAGCCAGCCATTATTACCGTAGTTTGACCACGAATCCATGCTGGATGTCATCTCCCAACCATCTTATATTACACTTTCCTTTTTTCATGTTACATTGTAACCCTGGCTTACCTTTTGGCATAATCCTACAAAAGAAAAAGGTAAATAGTAGCTGAAGTACACACTCTGTGACTTCTACCCCGCCCACCTCTGCCATTGAATAGAGAATATCTACGGTCTGTTTGTGAAAGGTAGACAACATCCGTTTTTATAAAGAAGTCGGAGCTGCTCCACTCCACTGTTTTTTGCTTATGTACTCTCTTGTCTGGAGTCATTGAGGCGATCGAGATCTAAGACTCTTCTCTCCTGAATCTTCTGAATATTAAGCCTCTATGCGACAGCTACTTAGTATCTGCCTTTAATAAAAGAATACATTCTGGATAAATGCTCCCAAACTCTGCCAATTAGCACTAAAACTGAGCCCATCGCGTTAAAAAGGCAATAGGTCCCTTGCCACTGATCCAACAACTCGCTGAGTGGAGTGAATTGCTTTTGTAATTATATGTGACTGCAAGCCATCCAGTTTTGATTAATATGAGTCTTCAAGACCTTTGTTCCCTTGATGATCTTTCCATTAGGGCAATTTACTGTGATTATGGGAATAAATGTCGACTACATTTACACATTTTTATTCGCCCTTTGGTGCCTTTTTTCTATTTTGAATATTTTGACAAAGCTTGTCTCGATTATCTTTTTTTGCAATGATTCCTCCTATGGTGGTCACCTATACGATATGTTGTCGAAAAACGAGCATTGAGTAGCAACCGTTAATAAGTTATATTCGTTTTTTTGTAATTCCAGTAAGTTCAATGACTAATTCCTTGGTGGATATGAAGTTTTTCGAGCCCAATTAAGTGGTACCAGACTTGTCTGGGAGGTTAGAAACAAGGCACTGTACTTGGGTTTGCCAACGGTGGGTCATGGTATAGGCTAAATGTTTACGTGTCCATTACGCCATGGCAATATTGAAAGGAAGACAAAGATGGGGCACATCACAAGGGTAAGATCGATTTATGAAAAAATTATAATTTGAAAAAACTCTTGTGCCGTACGAGGTGGAACAATTTATTTAACCAACGGCCTAAAGTTCCGACGCAATCGTCTTCTGCAGATGCCATGGTTCCACCGCTTGAACGGAGAAAATCCGCTGTCCGCCACAGGCGGGTATCAGTAGCGAAAATAGTAAAAAAAAATTATATTAGTAGAAATAAATTATATTTTTGGTTGATCATCTGATGCTCATCCATGGCTGTTGTAATAGAAGCGAGTGACTTGCTCGTCCATTTTACATGAGGTGACGATGGAAGGCAACAGTCCAACACCAGAGAATGGCTGCAGGCCGATCAGTAGAATAGAAAATTTTCATTCCAATAAAGGCCCAGAGTGGCTCGTCGGAAATTGTTAACCATTAAAAAACAGCCTTGATTGAAATCCCACCCCTACACTTCCCGAGAAGCTATGCCGCCTGTAACGTGCTGCCTAGCCTATTCGGTGCTATACTTAGGAGTATATTTAAGCATAATACATAATTATTCGCTACTAATGTACCAAACAAGGGCGGAAGTGGTGTAGTGGCAACGAGGCGCACTTTATCACACGCACGGTCAGGGGTTCGAATCCCGATTGATGCCCGCCTAGGCCAACCAAGCCTTCCATCCCTCTGGGGTCGGTGAATTGGTACCAGACTCTTCTGTGAGGATAAAAGCACTGCATTGTACATAGGCTGGCCACCGCAAGTCATTGTATAGGCCACATACGCACTCATTACGCTACTACGATTCTGAATGGGAATCGAGTGCAGGGACGCATCCTTCAGACGGGATTGATTAACGCCAAAAACTTTATCATTTTATCCTTTTAATGTACTAACCGTGTAGAGTAGTGCTACACTTCATGATGGATGTGAGGCCTTTGAAAACGACGGGTCCGTCGAAACGTTGGCCAGAATAAAGATCCCCACCTGTTAACCTCGAGGCAGAAGCAAAATCAACAATTTCAAGTATAAGCATAATATGTATTTTGTGTAAGTTGATCAGACACGGAATGAACGAAATGGTTCTGCAACGATAGCTGATGCACATAACTCGCATTGGACGTCTTAATGCTATGACACTTTTTTTTTGCGAAACTCCTAGTCCAAGAAAACTTTCGTATTGTACTAGAAGGGGCTACTTTGCGATCAATAGCTCTGTCAGCTTTGACTGGATCTATTTTTGGAATTGCCTACTCATCTGTGCTTGAGTGGATTTCTAAGGGGCCTACGCACACAATCGACACAATGAAAAAGCAATTTTCTCAGCACCTATACGCTTTTTGAATACTCAAATGCACAAAATTCAGAGAGGACTTTGAATAAAAGCTTATTGCGAGGGTTTTCTGACGAGTCTTCGGTGCCCTTGATTCAAAAACGGAATGTTTTGCCCATAGTGATGAAACCGGTACCTAGTCATCTCTAGCATCTGTAAGAATTCGAACCTTTGACGGCCTGGAAGGGAAAGGAACGAGAAGATGGAAATGAAAGAATCAATTGAAAAGGGCACCTTCCAGGAGCCAACTACATTTGTTGCCATTGACCTTTAAATGATCCACTGTGCTCGCCATAAGTAAGTGTCTACGGTACCATTTGTCGGTGCTCTGCAGAGTAAGACGGTCAGAAAAACAAAAATGGAATAAAAATTATGCAAGGCCACTTAGTCATCGAAGCTCGTGATGCATGTGCATTGCCATCAACGTTTTTGCCTAGTCTGTCTACGATGAGTAGTTATTATGTGCTAGGAGTAATGGCTTTGGTAATGCAATTCTAGTGCAATACACAGCCTCTCGAAGTTCTCAATAGCTCTTCCTTCTAATTGCCCGTTCACGTCAAATGTGTTAGATGTTGAACACAGGGAACTCTAGTGCACTCCTACTTTTTCTTAAATGTCCCGTTCATCCGAGCCTTGACAGCCTGTGCCCACTGCCCTAGGCGACTAGGAAACTCACGTACTCACGAAAGTGTCTTCCGTTTCTGATATTTTTTCCATTGCTGACTTCGTGCTCTCCTTGTGGAACTTGATTCCTTCACGTTCACCTAAAATCCATTCTCTCCAGCACACCTTAACGATCACAGATCGAGGATGTGTGAGGACAGACCCAAGCGGCATGCCGCGCTCGCCATACCCGTCGCGTGTCGAAGATCGTGTACAACATAGCTCA